TTTTTTAAAGTATATTTTATTGATATTTTACAGAGAGGAAGGGAGAGGGATAGAGTTAGAAACATTGATGAGAGAGAAACATCGATCAGCTGCCTCCTGCACACCCCCCACGGGGGATGTGCCCGCAACCAAGGTACATGTCCTTGACCGGAATCGAACCTGGGACCTTTCAGTCTGCAGGCCGACGCTCTATCCACTGAGCCAAACCAGTTAGGGCCATACTGTTTTCCATACTGGCTGCAACAATCTGCATTCCCAATATCAGTGCATGAGGGTTCCCCTTTCTCTACATCCACCCCAAGTTTGTTGATTTATTGATGATAGACATTCTGACAGGTGTGATGTGATATTTCATTGTGGGTTTTTTTTTGCATGTCTCTGATGATTAGTGATGTTGAGTATTTTTTCATATGTGTATTGGCCATCTGTATGTTCTCTTTGGAGAAGTTTATATTCAGGTCCTTTGCCCATTTCCTTATTGGATTGCTTATTTGGTGTTGTAGGAGTTCTTTGCAAAACCTTTTTAGTTTGAGGTAGTCTCATTTGTTTATTTTTTCTTTTGTTTACTTTGCCCGAGGAGATATATCAGAAAAAATATTACTAAGAGAAATGTCCAAGATTTTACTGCATATGTTTTTCTTCCTGGAGTTTTATGGTTTCGAGTCTTACCTTTAAGTCTTGAACACATTTTGAGTTTATTCTTGTATATGGTGTAAGAAGGTGGTTTAGTTTCATTTTTTTGCATGTATCTCTATCTGTCCTATTTTTCCAACACCATTTATTGAGTAGACTGTCTTTACTCCATTGTATGTTCTTGACTCCTTTGTAAAATATTAATTGAAAATATAGGCATGGGTTTATTTCTAGGCTCTCTATTTTGTTCCATTGATCGATATATCTGTCTCTATGCCACTATCATGCCATTTTTATTACTATCGCCTTATAGTACTGTTTAATATCAGGTAGCATGATAGTTCCAAGTTTGTTCTTCTTTTTCAAGATTACTGTGGCTACTTGGGGTCTTTTGTGGTTCTACATAAATTTTTGGATTACTTGTTCTAGTTATGTGAAATACACTATTGGTATTTTGATAGGAAGTGCATTGAATCTATAAATTGTTCTGGGTAGTTTGGACATTTTAATGATGTGAATTCTTCCTATCCACAAGCACAATATATGCTTCCATTTATTTGTATCTTTTTCAATTTCTTTCTTCAGTATCTTATAATTTCCCAAGTATAGGTCTTTTACCTTGGTTGAATTTATTCCTAGGTTTTTTGTTTTTTTTTGTGTGTGAAGCAACTGTAAATAAGATTGTGTTTTCTTAGTTTTCCTTTCTGATAGTTCCTTATTTGTATATAAAAATGCAACCAATTTCTGATTATTAATTTTATATTTTGCTTCTTTACTATTCATTTATTAGTTTTTATGTGTATGTGTGGAATCTTCAGGGTTCTCCATATATAGTATCATGTCTTCTGCAAGAAATGACAGATTTACTTTTTCCTTTCCAATTTGGATGCCTTTTATTTCTTCTTCTTGCTGATTGCTGTGGCTAGGACTTCTAGTACATCCCTGGAATGGACATCCCTGTCTTGTTCCTGATCTTTTTTTTTTTTAATATATTTTATTGATTTCTTACAGAGAGGAAGGGAGAGAGATAGAGAGTTAGAAACATCGATGAGAGAGAAACATCGATCAGCTGCCTCCTGCACATCTCCCACTAGGGATGTGCCCGCAACCAAGGTACATGCCCTTGACCGGAATCGAACCTGGGACCCCGGTTTCGGCTTGTTCCTGATCTTAAGGGAAATGCTTAAGTTTTTCCCCACTGAGTATGATGTTTGCAGTGGCTTGTCAAATTTGGCTTTTATTATGTTGAGGTATCTTCCCTCTATTCCCACTTTGCTAAGAGTTTTTATCATAAATGGATGCTGGAACTTGTCGATGCTTTTTCTGCATCTATTGATTTGATCATGTGTTTTTATCCTTCATTTTGTTTATGTGGAGTATCACGTTGATTGATTTGCAGATACTGTACTAGCCTTGCATCTGGGAATAAATCCCACTTGGTCATGGTGTATGATCTTTATAATGTATTGCTGGATTCGGTTTGCTAATATTTTGTTGAGGGTTTCTGCATCTATGTTCATCAGGTATATTGGCCTATAATTTTCTTTCTTTGTAGTGTTTTTATCTGGTTTTGGAATTAGGATAATGTTAATACAATGAGGTTGGGAGTCTTCCCTCCTCTTAAATTTTTTGGAGTAACTTGAGAAAATAGGTGATAGTTCTTCTCTCAGTGTTTGGTGAAATTCACCTGTGAAGCCATCCAATCCAGGATGTTTGTTTGTTGGGAGGTTTTAAGTTACTGCTTTGATTTCATTAGTTGTAATTGCTCTGTTCAGATTTTCTGTTTCTTCTTGATTCAGTTTTGGAAGATTGTTTGCTTCTAGGAATTTATCCATTTTTTCCAGATTGTCCAATTTGTTGGCATATAGTTGTTCACACCATTTTCTTATAATCTTTTGTATTTATGTGGTGTCAGTTACTTTTACTCTTTCATTTCAGATTTTATTTATTTGGGTCCTCTCTTTTGTTCTTGATAAGTCTGGTTAAAGGTTTATCAATATGGTTTATCTTTTCAAAATCAGGTCTTAGTTTCATTGATCTTTTGTATTGTTTTTTTAGACTCTATTTTGTTTATTTCCATCCTGATTTTTACAATTTTCTACTGTCTACTCACTTTAGGCTTTGTTTGTTCTTTTTTTTCTAGTTCATTTTGGTATAAGGTTAGAATATTTGAGATTTTTCTTGTTTCTTGAGGTAGGCCTGTAATGCTCTGAATTTCCCTCCTAGGACTGCTTTCACTGTGTCACATAAATTTTGGGTTGTTGTGTTCCCATTTTCATTTGTCTCAAGGTATCTTTTGATTTCTTTCTTGATCTCATTGTTAACCCATTCATTGTTTAGTAACATGTTATTTAGCCTTCATGTGTTTCAAACCACTGTGGTCACAGAAGATGCTTGATGTGATTTCAATCTTCATAAATTTATTAGGCTTCTTTTGTGTACTAAAGTGGTCTATCCTAGAAAATGTGCCACATGCACTTGAAAAGAAAGTATATTCTGCTGCTTTGGGGTGAAATCCTCTAAAAATACTAATTAAGTCCATCTGTTTCCTTGTTGATTTTATCTGGAAGATCTATCCATTGATATCAATGAGGTGTTAAAATTCTCTACTATGATTATATTACTGTTCATCTCTCCCTTTATGTCCTTCAAGATTTACTTTACATATTTAGGTTACCAGGGTTATATCGTCTTGTTGGATTGATTCCTTTATCCTCCACTTGCCGGCTGACTTTAGGCTTAGTCACTAAAAGGGCCTCTGAAGGAACATGAGCTGCACAAGGTAGGTTCTCAGTGAGTCACCAGGGAGGGGCGAGTTGTGTTCACCAGATTGATAGATTCAAACCCAGCACCAGTGCTGGGACTGAGGCCATTCAGCAGAAGTCTCAGGGCACACCCAGACTAGCCTCTACCCGCTGAGTGCCCATGGACCTTTGTGGTGGTGCTGACGTTCTCAGGGAGTTGTCAGGGTAAGGGCGGCAGAGTTTATCACATTTGGCCATGTGAAGAGAGGGCTCCACACAGGAAGGGTAGCACCAGAGGGAAAAATGGCCCCCACCCCAGAGCCACACAACTTGGTCTCTGATACCCAGGCCCAGACAGCTGACTCCTTAGCAGGCATGAGCTGGGCAGGGCAACAGGGAGTGGGGAGGGTGGGAAAGCACAACAGGCAGTGCTTTCCAGACTGATGCAGTGTGGAGGGGAATGCTCAATCCAGGAAAGACGACATCTGCAGGAGGTGTGGGAGAGGGACTCAATACAGGGACCTGGCAGCTGTCCCTTCAGCTCTCTCCCCGGAGCCACACAACTCTGTCTATCCTCACATGACTCCACTTCACTCTGAACCACACTCCCTCTGCCGGAGCCAAGGGTGAGTGGCTGCAAAAGAGATTTTGTGTGCTGGTCCTTTAAGAGTGTGCCTGGGTTACTAGCAGACTCGGTATCTTCCTGGGTACTGGATCCCTGCTGATTTTCACAGCAAGGTATTATGTGGGCTCCTCTTCCTGGCTCTGGTGCTCCAGGCTGGGGAGCCTGGCTGAGGTTGAGACCTCATGCCCCTCAGGGGACCTTTGCAGCTGAGACATCCCTCCGGATTCTCCACCATCTCGTGTTGAATGTGGGGCCAGGCCTTTTCATTTCTCTGCCCTTCCTATCAGTCTAAATGTGGCTGCTTCTGTGGCTGCTTCTGTAAATGCTTGCTTATACAACTTCTGTTCAGCTGGTTATTCAGGCTGATTATTCTATAATTTAGTTTTGATTCCAGTTTGGACCTGGGAGGAGGTGAGTGTAACTTCTACCTACGCTGCCGCCTCTTGGATCTCCATCTGCCCTTTCTTTTTAAGAGTCATGTCTGTACTGATAAAGCATGTTTAAGTAGTGGCTTGCCCTCAGGGCACAAAAGGCACTGACATCAAACACAAGGAACATTCTAGTATGTGCCTCCTGGTCTCAAGACTAGGTCCTGACAAAACCTAACCAATTTCTTGTCTGCTTTCTTCCCTTAACTCTCACAGCCGCTGATCCTGGTGTTCACTTGTTCTTTAGAAAAGACTTAGGGGCTTGATGTCTCTCCCTTTTATGAACCATAGGGCTGTCTGCCTCAGCAATGTGTCTGCCTCAGCAATGTACTCAACGATGCTTGCCCAGCCAACCTCCCAACGTTCAAACAATACTCCCTGAGAGTGCTTCACCGCCCTTTGCCAGGCTGGACTTAGTACAAACGTACAATGGCTGCCTTTCCTTTTCTTCAGATATCTTATTACAGAAGAAAACCATAAGGCAGGTGTGGAGTAATGTGGAAGTCTGAAAAGTTCCTCAGGAGATTGTGTACATTACGGTTTCTGAGCGTCAGAAATAAAGGTACTCACCACCTGACCAGTAGTCCATGTTCCATGAAGTTTTTCAGGTTGGGAAGGGTTTGCCTCAAGTCTGGAGTCCCAAGTCCATGTTGATATCTTAGCTGCAAAGGTAGAAAAATAGAATTAAAAGAAATTCTGGCAGATACTAGGCAATGCTTCAGAAACATGATCTATTAAACATGTTGTTGTTGTTTTTTACTCGAAAACAGGAAATATGAATGTATGATCCCAATATTATCAATCACACTTTTGGGATGGTGTTTAAAAGTACCCCTTTCATTTCTTGCTCCTTTGCCCCCTAAAGTTGGAGAAGATCAAGAATGACTAACTGTGGAAGCAAAATATTTCAAAGACCCTTGTAGGATTTGCTAACATTGATTCCAGGGACAGAGACCATAAAACCAGTGTTCGGTTTTAGGTACTGACGGCTGGTATTATATACTCTGAGCACATTCAGCCCTTCTTTTGCTGATCCTCTCTTTGTATAAGCAAGGGTAAGAATCATGTTGTATTCTTCTGATAGCTAAAGTGTCTGATACAATGCTAGTGCTCAGCTTATTAAACAAATGAGTAGCACTTTTGACAGAGGATGTGCTCTATATTTCTCTTGTATCTATAATTTCCCTCTTTATGCAGAACAAGAGCAAGAGCCGAAGGACTAGCATGAGGAAACTATGGCCTGTGGGCTTGATCTGCTCTTAGTTTTACTTACTTCTGCTAGAGGCTGCTTTTTAAAATTAAGTATCCTTCTATGTTCCTTGAGTATCTTGCTAAATGTTTTCATCTGTCTGTTCATTGCACCCTCTCACTCTGCCTCTGAATACCATCTGCTTCCTTAACTGACCATAATAAGATCTGAAATAGGTACATGTGCACATTCATACATATGCTCACACACATAATATCAAATACACAGTAAGTGTGCAACACAGCCCTGCAGAAATGTATTTTTCAAGTGAGATGATACATATGCAAAAAGCACTTTGTAACTGTATATTGTACAAATGTGAAGGATCATCAGTTCTGAAGTTTTACTTTTCTAGTACGTAACTTTTATTTATTCATTTGAATTTTTGTGACTTTATTTGAGCCAAACTGTCGACAATTGCCAGGAAGCAGAATCTCAACGTTTGGGATAATGATCTGGACAATGGTGTTTTTTTTTCACCTTGTTTTATATATTACATCAAAGAGGAGACGTATGTGGGTTACATGAAATCCATTGGTGATAGATTAGGGAGGCGGGAGAAAGCAAAGAGGGGGGTAGTAATCTCTGGGAATGGATAAAAAGTAAAATGATAGACACATACTTCTTTTACTTAGGTGAGTAAGGGTAGTTAACAGTCAACAATTAATCCTATATAATAAAAGCCTAATATGCAAATTGACCGGGAGTTCGACCACTATGACGTGCACTGACCACCAGGGGGTGATGTGGAACATGGTGGATGTCAGCAAACATGTCTCACTGGCTACCTCGGGGCGGAGGTGATGGGGACAGAGGTGTGGTGAGAATGCAGCATGTCTGCTGAGCTCGCTCTCACTCACCCTGCTACCTCCCCCACCCCCCGGGAAGCCAGGGGTTGCATGCCGGGGAAATCCCCATGCTCAGGTGCGGGTGCCTGCGAAGAGCCCGCCCCGCACCCACCCTGCCTCTTTCAGGTGAGCTGGGCTGCAGTTGCTGGGACCGTAGGGGCCGGTCAGGCTCCCTGTGGGTTTGAGCAGGAGTCGGTGGGAGAGGCGGGCCGGGAGAGAGCGTGCTGCCCGCCTGACTTCTGTGCGGCGCTGCCCGCCTGGCTTCCATGCGGTAACGCTGGGTGGCCCAGAGGCCCACACTGTGCCCTGGCCCATGGCATCTGGCTGCGCTCACTGCATCTCCGCGTGGGGACTCGGGTGTGGAGACTCAGGTGGAGGGGGGCACGCAGTGGCCCGGGGGCCCAGGTGCTGCCCAGGGCCCAGAGGTTAGCTGAGACCTGCCCTTCCACGCCAGACCTCATGCTTTGATCGCTGGCCAGGCCTAGGGATGGCACCCGTGCACGAATTTCATGCACCGGACTTCTAGTATAACAATAACAATGAAGGAATTTATGGTCTCCAGTCCTGGAGCCCAGGTGCATTTGATTGTGCCCCGAGGGGTCCGGAAAAAGGGATGTTACAAGTTACTCTGACATGTTATCTTAGATGCAAAAAGACAATAAGCTCAGTTAAGGTAAAATTGACCTTGTCAGGGAAGATACTGGCCTAGGACATGACTACCCACCATGACTGCTTTTAGTTAGTTTTAATTTTAGACCACCCTTTGTAGTTACCTTAGGTCTTTGAGTTTGCAAGACTGTCATGCAGGCCTTCCCTGAGCTTGTCAGGTTACCATGTGGCTCCTTTCGTCCCCATATCCCTCTTTTGGTCATAAATCAATCCAAAGGATGCATTGATGACCAACCTTTTGAGTGGATAATGGAGTCCAACAGTGTCTAGCACCTAACTTTATTTATTTATTTATTTATTTTTTTAAAATATATTTTATTGATTTTTTACAGAGAGGAAGGGAGAGAGATAGAGAGTTAGAAACATCGATGAGAGAGAAACATCGACCAGCTGCCTCCTGCACATCTCCTACTGGGGATGTGCCCGCAACCCAGGTACATGCCCTTGACCGGAATCGAACCTGGGACCTTTCAGTCCGCAGGCCGACGCTCTATCCACTGAGCCAAACCGGTTTCGGCATAGCACCTAACTTTAAAAGTGACCAAGTCAAACATCTAAATATTTTCTTCTTTTAAAAAATAAAACCATGACCAACAAAAAAATATTAAAGTAGGTCTTCCTTTGTTTCTATCTAGTACTCAACTGATTTTTCACTTAACAGAGAAGTTTATTCTCACTACAATGAACTTTTAAAGGAAAATGCCAAAACCTAATCGGGTCTCTGGAATACTCACACAATGCAAGGCAGTAGAAACATAGAATTTTAAAGCCAAAAGGAATTGTGAATATTATTTAAGCCAATACTTTCCTTTTGCAGATGGGGAAACTGAAGCCCAGAAAGGGAAAGTAAATTCTCTAGGACCACAGAGCTCAATGGCAAAGATATTATTAGTCAGAGCCTCCCTTTCACAACCATGTTACTCCGCCATTTACCCCAGAGTCAGAGGAAAACTGGTAAAAACACTGGAGAAGACAAAGGGAAATATTTTTTCCCTTTTCCAAAACTTAGCTTGGTGACCTAAGTCACCTCCTGAGATTTGTTGACCTTGAATTATAAGATCTACTCCATATTAAATGACATCATTTCTTATATTAATATAAAAGCATTTTTCCATACATTGATAAAAGTGAAATGGCTGATATCCCAATATGACATTCCTGAATTCATTGTTTCAATAAAAAAGTGAAATTGTTTACACATGGCATGGAAATTTCACCTGTGATTCATACTGAAAAATATTAAATATCAAAAAACCCATACTGAAATAACACTAAGCTATGTGTCCCTGAGCCAGTACATAGTCAATTGCCTGCCCCAGGTCCACAGTGGAAGGTGGGTGTTGAATTCTTTTCAGAGACCACAATGAAAATTTGTCTGCAAGTCTGATTTCAACCAAAAAGGGAAAATGTGGGCATTCTGAGCCTCCACCCAGGCCTTAACTCTTCATTTGCTGCATAGCACAATTATTTTTTATCACAGAATCTTAGAATGTGACAGCTTAAAGAGACACTGGAGATCATCTTCTCCAACCCCCCTCTTTTCATAAATGAAGAAACTAAAAAAAAAAAAAAGAAGAAGAAAGAAACTAAGACTCAGTAAAGCAAATGTCCTGCCCAGGTCACAGAGCTGATAAAGGACAAAGCCAAGGCTAGAACCTAATAATAACTCCAAATTCTTTCTACCATGTCATCCTTTTAATTTTCAACATAGGAGATCAGCCAAAGAACATATATGTACATATGCATAGGCCATGGACACAGACAACAAAGTGGGCAAGTCCAGGGAGAGGGAGTGGGGGCTGAAGGACAAAGGTCGGGGCGGGGGGAGAGGAAATGGGGGACATCTCTAAGAGTGTTAACAATTAAATTAGAGAAAAGAAATTCACACATAATACAAATACATTAATATCTATAATAATAAAAGCTTAATATGCTAATTAGACCAGACAGCCGAACGACCTTCCAGAAGTCCTTCTGGATGTCACCGCAGCGGCGGGGCCCAGGCAGAGGTGGTTAGGGGCAATCAGGCAGGAAAGCAGAGTGGTTAGGGGTGATCAGGCAGGCAGGCAGAGTGGCTAGGGGCGATCAGGCAGGCAGGCGAATGGTTAGGGGCAATAAGGCAGGCAGGCAGAGGGGTTAGAGGTGATGAGGCAGACAGGCAGAGTGGTTAGGGGTGATCAGGCAGGCAGGCAGGTGAGTGGTTAGGAGCCAGCGGTCCCAGACTGTGAGAGGGATGTCCAACTGCCGGACATCCCCTGAGGGGTCCCGGACTGTGAGAGGGTGCAGGTTGCGATGAGGGACTTCCCCACCCCCCATGCACGAATTTCGTGCACCATGCCTCTAGTTTAAAATAAAGTACATGTACTGTTTAATAAGTTGAAACTACTTTAAAGCATATAATGAAAAAGCAACAGCTCTCTGCTCTTCAGCAGCAACTACTTTTAACCGCTTCTTTTTTTCCATAACTCTGAATAATATACTTATATTAATATTTCTTATTCTTCCAATTTTAGCCATCATCTACCATGTTCTTATAATGAAATATAAGAAGTTAGCTCTCCCATATTACTCTTCTCTTAGACTAACATTTTATCCCCTTACCCACACAATATTTACTTTTTATTAAAGCATACAAGGATTTAACTCTGTATTCTCCCAAATATACTTCTTCCTCCTCCTCTCAAGATATTCAAAATCACATTTTTTTTGTTAAATCAATATTCAGTGTTTACTTTACTATACCTACAAAAATACTGTTCACTGCTGAGCTATGTAATATACTATTCCCTTTTTTTGTAGTTTTTGTTTGTTTTTCTTAAAGTGCTATTTGCCATTTTTTCCCACTTGTTGAGTACCTATCTTGTTGATAAAACTACTTGTTGAGTACCTATGAACC